TTAATAACCTTTTAAAATAGTCAAATACCCCTTATAACAGTCAATCATTTTAAAAAAAGAAATTATTCAGGCTCTACTTTAAAAGAAAAACAAAGGCCAATGTCACAAAATTTAAACCCGTCACGAAGCTTTTGACAGAAAAGTGGGTTTTAGATTGCATAAGGGGATATCTTTGGCAATATCTAGAAAATATCTGGGAAAAATTATCACTCTAAAAAATTTTTTATTAATTTGACCCGTATGTTTTTCCTACCTGGACACGGGACCTAAATTTGGCGCATGACACTCCAACTCACAATAGTTAACATTATTTTTTTGCCAAGTTATATTAAAATCCCTTTTCATGTAGAAGTTTTGTCCAGACAAAGTTTTTTCAATTTCCTTAAGTGTGACCTTAACCTTTGACCTAGAGGCCCGGGCCCTGCAGGGGTACACAGATTTTGATAATGGGGAACATTTCTATGAAGTGTCATTTAAATTTCCTATGGGTGTAGGGTGCTCCCGACAAAAATTTTGGCCCCCCCGCCCAGCACCCGCCAAGGGGGGAAAATATAATCGACCGTTTTTTAAAAAAGCCCTAAATTTTCAAAATGGGCAATTAAGCATATGTAAATTTAAAGAAAAAATTACCTAGAATAAAGGGTTTATAGTCATCCAGCAAGGCCCCCAACAGCATGAATTACATAATATAAGACATCTTTTCCCGCACCAGTATGGCAAACCTTTCCAACTCTTAATTTTCCCCCTGTTGTTCAAAAAATCGCGACCCTCTTTTTTTAGATCTTTTCCCGCGGCATTAGCTTTGGGTCTTGCTATTCCCCCCCATGTTTTAAACTACATTAGCAGCAAAAATTAACAATGCAGTCAACAGGCACGCATAAAAATCTGAAAAAGTAAACTTTACTGTTATTTTTTCTTTTGTTTCAAAAACTATAATGTTTTGCACGTGTTGACCTTTAAAAACTGTCTGCTGAATCCCGGAGTCTTTAGGTTGGGGCCTGCATCTTTTGTATCTTTTGGGCTGTTTTTGTTCGAAGACTCTAGGGGGGAAATCTAAAATTTATCTTTTGCTCTTTTACATCTTTTCCAAATAGTTTCCCAAAAAAACTCACCCATGCCATTTTACTGAACTACACTTTACCTTTGAACTTTTTTTTTTTTCTTTAATTTTTTTTTTCCCCATATCCTGGCTGAAAAATTCCCCCGATAAGTCAAAGAAGTCATAAGTTGGATATCTTTCTGCAAAAATTCATCAAAGCTTTGTTTATCTCAGATTTTTTCCTATGGGAATACCTCTGATTAAAAATTAATAATAAATTCATTTTTTGTGAATGAAAAATCACAATCAGTTTTTTTAAGCCTGCCTATTACATCAGCACAACACATCTCAATGAATTTCTATTGTATATCCTTTTGGTAAGGGGAACCTGCACTCTACTTTAGGACCCAACTTGAGAACCTGGTTTGGAATGTTAAAATGTGATGTTCGTATTGAGCCTGAATGACGTATCTCACTGGATGAAACTGTAACTGAAATATATTAAATGTAATAAATAATAACAACATAGAACATGCTTTTTAAGGAATATTTAGTGGTGGCAAAATCAAAACAATGTTTCAAAATATATTTTGGAACGTTTAAAAAAGTTTAATATTGAATAATGTTTAAAGAATAAAATAGGCCTGAGTGATAATTGCAAATCATTGAACAATAAACCAAGCATTATTTAGTACAATGTAAGAAAAGTTAATATGTTTTACCTCTATAATTCTCATAAAAAAGAGATCTGATAAGAAATAGTAAAATTACAAAGAGCATAGAAGTAATTTTCCTGATGTAATTTGGTTTATTGACATCATATTTGACGTCATATAACGCGTAAACATTTGTCTTTTGTGGCCGTGCTTATATTGTGTAATAATGCACTTGACAGTCCAATCTGTTTGATAGGGGAAAAATTAGGAGGTTTGTTAGTATAAACAATGGAACATACATATTTCTTCAATGCTCGCTCAAATTCCTGAAAAAAGGTGAAATAGTCACTAAAGTAATTAGGTGTTTCATTAATCAATTATGGTGTTTAAATATCATAGAACAAACTTATTTAATAGAAATGCGGATAAAATAATTTATCGATTGACACTCATTTCTAAATCTTTCCATGTTTTGTTGTTGTCTTTTAAAGTGGATGGTGGACGGCACAATGAAATGGTATTGCAAAATAAGAGGACATCATAACAAATGCAAATTTTAGGGCATTTTTCACAACACTAGAGCAATTTGTCATTTTGTTGCATTGTCTCTTACTGCAACAAGTTATGCAAACTTAAATTTTAATAGCTTACCCTTTAAAACAAAAAGTGTTCTCTACAGATAAAAGCAAATAACAGCAATTGTCTTAAGAAAATACAGATAACAAAAACAAGAGCCAGTTGAACCCGGTGATGTTCCCCGACTAGGTTTGGACCCCAGAAAATATCAGAGTGTATAATTACAAACTTAGGCAAGGCAGGGTTACTGTTCTTTGCACTGCACTTAAACTACCCAATGAGATCTATCTACCAACTTAAGCGCTACACAGCTCTCATTTGGTGATCATTTTTGGTGAAATATTTGGTGAAATCTCACTTCAAATAACAAAGTTGTGCGCCAGACACAATTTTGCTGCAAGTTCATGCTTTTGACCTTGACCTTAGGGAAGGGGACCCAAATGTTGCATGTGACACATCATCTCAATATTGGGGGATCATTTGTGTGAAATAGTTGTAAAATGGCTTCAAATAACGAAGTTAGGGGCCCGGGGACATGATTTTGCTGCAAGACCTGCAAGGTCATGCTGTACCTTGACCTTCAAGAGTGACCTAAATGTTCCACGCAACATGTATCTCAATATGGTGAGCATTTCTGTGAAATAGTTGGTAAAATCCGACATCAAAACAAAGTTATGGGCCGACACGATTTTGCTCATGGTCATGCTGTGACCTTGGACCTTAATTTAAAGGTAGTGACCCAAATGTTGCCCTGCAACACGTCATCTCAATATGGTGATCATTTCTGTTTAAATAGTTTTTTAAAAACCGACTTCAATAAATGAAGGGTTATGGGCTGGACAAGATTTTGCTGCAAAGTCATGATGTGACTTGACCTTCAAGGCAGGACCAAAATTTTGCATGTGACACGTCGTCTTCAAATATGGTTGATCATTTCTGTGAAATAGTTTTAAAATCCGACTTCAAATAATGAAGTAATGGGCAGGAACATGGTTTTGCTGCAAGGTCATGCTGTGACTTGAGCTTCAAGGTAGGGACCCAAATTTTCCGTGTCATCTCAATATGGTGACATTTCTGTGAAAATAGTTGTAAAGTCTGACTTAAAAAAAAACGAAGTTATTATCAGGGCCGGGCATGATTTTGCTGCAAGGTCATACTGTGACCTTGACCTTAAAGGTAGTGACCAAAATTTGCACGCAACACAAGTCTCAATATGGTGATTATTTCTGTGAAAAACTTCTAAAATCCCACTTCAAATAATGAAGTTATGGGCCGCACCTGAATACGGGACGTACGGATGGACTGTCGGCGTCCAGCCAAATTGGAATAAGGGCAATTTCTATTCTTATTTTTTTGTTTAAAAAGAGGGCCAATGGCCCCTTACTCTAGTTGTTACCGAATTAACTCTACTGGGATCTAATATTACCTGACAAAATATGAAGTTTTTTATCTGTAACTTTTATTTCAAAAATAAAAAAAATGGAATTTTACCCAAATAATTGTGGGTTTCTTAATGCACGTAAACATTTTTTTATCAAACATGAAATTAAACATTTGACTGTAGAAATGTGTCTTTAAAGTAGGCCATTATAAGAGGAAAAAAATCAAGCAAACAACTCAATTTACCAGGGCATTGTTTCAAACATTTTTGAAGTCGTGAATTAAAATTAATATTTAAACAATCAGCAAGGAAAACTACAACTGTTGAATGACAAGGTTAAGATATTTTAAAAACAGTATGTCACTAGAAAAAAGAAAATGGCAGCCATGCCTGTTATGAAAAGGGGCCCAATATATGGTGTAATTGAAATTAAACTATTAACTCAATTAGCGTATTGATTCTTCATGATCCTTAAACGTATGAAACATTTTAATATTTTAAATGGAATTCTGTTCTTTGTCATACAGTTTCCTTTTGGTTTATCAAAGTAGTATGTTAACAAGCCATAAAAACTATTTTATTTTCATTTCATGTAGAGGTTTCCTCCCATGGGTGTAACCCCTTTTCCCTTTTATGTTTTTTAATTTACACTTCTTTGTAAAAATAAACAACGAGATACTGTTAAGATAAATTTAAAAAACTTTTTATCATTAAAATATGTTACGATTGTATCTTAGGTAACGTTGAAAAGAATTAAAAGTAAAACCTATCTAAACTAGAACTATCACTAAATGTGATTAATGACCCCCCCCCCCCCAACAAGAACTATCACTAAATGTGATTAATACCCCCCTCCCACCTGCAAGACTGCTTCGAATATGAGGAAGTTACAAGTAACAGAATACCTTGTAAAAGAATTGAAATAGAGTTATGGTTGTGGGCAATTAAGATAGTTGTGGTTTTTGTATGTTGCATTTCCTTACAATATGGTTGACCATTGATGAAGTTTTATTGAATTACTCTGTAATAAATCCAGAAAGAATTATGCTTCTTGAGCACTGCACTTCCCCTCATTGAGCTTGACCATTGTATGAAGTTGCATTGAATTCTAAACATTAGTTTTAAGTTATGCACTGGACAAGGAAAAGAACAAAGATCAATAACTCTACAAATACTGAAGACAGAGTTATGGTTATTGTACACTGCACTTCATTTCGCTTGACCATTGTATGAAGTTGTATTGAATTCCAAGTTCTAGTTTTCATGTTATGCACTGGAAAAAAAAAGTAACAAAGGCATAACTGTAATGAGTCAAAATAGAGTTATAATGCTTCTTCTACACTGCAGTTCATCTCAAAAGCCCTTGACCATTGTATGAAGTTTCATTGAATTCCAAACATAATTTTCAAGTTTTGCACTGGACATTAAAAAAGAAACAAAGGCAAACCTCTTAAATGAGTCAAGAAAGAGTTATGGTTTCTGTGCACTGCCCTTCCTCTCAATATTCTTGACCATTGTATGAAATTGTATTGAATTCCAAACAGTACTTCTTCAGTGCTCGATAGACAAGGAAAAAAGCAATGGAAAAGTAACAAAGCGGGAGTTTAACTCAATAATTACTCCAGACAGAGTTATGGTTCTTGCTGTGCACGGCACTTCCTCTTAATGTGGCCTTGATGATTGTTTATGAAGTTGTTATTGAATTCTAACTACTAGTTTTCCAGTTATGGTTCCAGACAAAAATAAGCAATGGAAAAGTAACATGATTATGGTCCAGACAACGAAAAGTAAAAAAGGCAAAACTCTGTAATAAAGATCAAGATAAAGTTTATGGTTACTGTACACTGCACTTCCTCTCATGTGCTCTATCATTGTATATAAGTTGTATTGAATTCCGACCATAGTCTTCCAGTTATGCTCCAGACCAAAAATAACAAATGGAAAAGGTCAAACCAAGGGGCAACTAACTCTGTAATTAGTTTAGATTAGTTATGTTCTTATGTCCTGCACTCCTCTTATTGTGCTTGAGAATTGTATTGAAGTTGTTTGGATTCCAAGACAGTAGTTTTCAAGTTATGCCCAAGTAAACTTCCTCTCCAATGTGTTTGACCATTGTTATTGAGTTTATATTGAATTCCATATTAGTTCTTATCAAGTTGATGGTCCAGACAAAAGAAAGCAATGGAAAAGTAACAAAAGGGCAAAATCTGAATTACTTTAGACAGAGTTATGAATCTTATGCACTGCACTTCCCCTTATTGTGCTTGACCATTGTATGAAGTTGCTTTGAATTGCAACCAGTAGTTTTCAAAGTTATGCTTCGAAACAAGGAAAAAGTAACAAAGGGCAATAACTTGTAATTAGTTCAAGATAGAGCTATGGTTTCTTTGTGCCACTGCTCTTCCTCTCAATGTGCTTGACCATTGTATAAGTAATATTAAAATTCCACCATTAGTCTACAAGTTATGGTACGGACAAAAGAAGCAATGAAAAAGTAATAAAGGAAAAGAAACCTTGAATTCTTTTTAGATTAGAGAATATGATTTCTTGTGCCCAATGCACCTTCCCCTTAAATTGTGCCCTTGACCGTATTGTATGAAGTTGTTTGAATTGCAAACCAGTAGTTTTCAAAGTTATCTCCGGACAAGGAAAAGTAACAAGGGCAATAACTCTGTAATTAGTGAAGATAGAGTTATGGTTTCTGTGTGCACTGCACTTCCTCTCAATGTGCTTGACCTTGTATGCAGTTGTATTGAATTCCAACCATTAGTCTACAAGTTTTTGCCCTGGACAAGGAAAATGCAAACGGAACGTCTGGACCGGCCGACCGACCAACCGACCACCGGTGACTCCTTTATACCACCCCCCCAAACTTTGTTTTTGGGGGTATAAAAAAAACCATTAATGGTCACTATATTCGGGCCTGCCCGAACGGATTATTCCCCGCATGAACCAGTCATGAAATAACTAGTACAAAGATGAGTTAGTAGATAAAGAACAAGAAATCCAACATAATACTGGAGAGTGGTTTTTGAATGTTAATTTACTTAGAAATAGAAAGTGTGTAATTCTGACTGATTTTTTAATAAAGCCAAAAAATAAAGCACTATTAGCAAGTAAATAGTCTTTTGTCAGCGTAAACTGATTGTCTGGTAAATATGTAGGATCCCTGTGAGTATTGTTTTCTTTTTGTTCCTGTTTACAGTGTAGTAGCCCTCCTATCCCTTAGTGTAACAGACTGACGGACGGACGGACAGATGGACGGATGCTTCCTACAAATAGACATTTATTGGTGTGCTTCTTTTGTTTAAAAGTATCAATAGAAGAACAAAATACCCAACACACTGACGGATATGAATAGAAATTAAAACAATGTGTCCTGTCAATGCTACCGGAGGTTCCAACAAGTGTCCTTTGTGTGCCATACCGGCAACTATATGCTCCTAATGAAATTTTCGGGGAGCATAAAAAACAAAGTCCTCAATTAAGTTGTACTATTCTTTGATGAGGCATCAGGAGGAATCAAATGAATTAAAACTTGAGACAGAATCAAATTAACGTATATGTGTATCAATGAATCTTGGAAAAGTATTGTTTGACATGGATTAAGTCTTAGTAATGCACATTAATTAATATGTGAAAATTTGCTTGTATGTAATGGGTAGCTATGGGGGTATGAAGACTCATCATGTGTATAACTTAAATATTATTCCAAAACTTAACTTCATCCCACACTTGCTGAATAAATAGATATAGTTTTCAACTTAATGTTTTAAGAAAACATCATACCACTGAATTTATTAAAGTTTTCTTTTTTTATTAAGTGAGACACTGGGTTTAATGCATATTTGCATTTTTGTCTAATGGCATACTTTTTCTATCCAAATATCACTATTTCACTAGAATTGTTAACAGTTATTTCGAATTACTGAATACAAACTCAATAACTTTGCTGTTTGCAGTATATTATGGTTGTTTTTGATGACATTTGCAGTGCTTACTACACTTAATAAAGCATATTAAAAAATAAAACGATAATTTTTTGCTTATTGTAAACATGCTACACTTTATATATAACACAATGAAGTGAGAAATATCAATATTTTCAGGGTTTTTCTCACTTCTCCAGTGTGATAAAAATATATCATATTCACTCAAAACAAACAAATAATCTCTATATATTGCTCTCAGACTTTATGCATACATGTTAACAAAATATTTTCTATGTTTTCGGCTACATGTCTTTTTAAAATATCATATACATGTTTATCACACACCTGTGCGATTTTGCGACTCCGTAAATATGGTATGCACGGCCGTGCATATATTTTGACGTGACGTCATAACGTTAATTACAAACATGGTGTAAAGACGCGCTAAATGTTAGCGTTATACTATAGGCGCGTCAATGAAAAATGACTCTTATTTCACTTTAAACGGTCTTTATTTTTGGTATGTGATAAATAGAATATTAAATTCATGTAAGTTCATTACTGAATTTATTGCACTCGTTGAATGAAATAATATTATGCTCGCCAGAGGCTTGCATAATATAATTTTATTCAACTCGTGCAATAAATTTAGTATTGAACTTACACTCATTCATTATCCTCTATATACTAACCTGTAAAACTACTTTGTCCTTTGGATATATTACAAATTTGACTTCATTGACATAGGTTCCCCGCCAGTCATCAACTGTCCTAAACATTTCATCAGCTACAACATGTATCGGATAATTTAAAACCCCTGCTCCAATAGCAGGGAAGGCGACAGATCGTAACTGCCTCTTCTCAGCCAGATTCAGACATCTCTGTACAAAGTCATGAATGCTCTGTCAAAGGAAACAACAATATATAAAGTCTGCTGAATATGTATCTGCATGCACTCAGCTGGAAAAACATACTTTGATATTAAGTGTTTATGGGATGTTTTTAAAAATATTCATAATCCTGGAGTCATTCTACATTTCTTCTGAAAAATGTGGCTAAATTTATGACTTCTGTTGCCTTTCTCTATCTGAAGCCATGACTGTTGTGTATGTTGATGGTTTTTAGATCCGTAAGGGCTGTATATGCTGAATATGCCTTATGCTAACTAAAATTACTTTCTAGCACACTTTATCATTTATATTAAATTAGCAATATATCTGGGTTCTCTGCTTAAACACAAACAAGTTCAATCATATAAAATCAAGGCAAATTAACCATAAATAAGAGAACCTTTCAAAATTTGTGTAAAAAATTACAAGTTGGGAATAGAGGCCAAATTTTAAGAGAAAAGTTTTTATAGTTTCTGAGAAAATGGATCTTAACGAAAAGGTTAACCAATTCAGATGAGGTCATGACAATAGCTCCATTTTTTTTTCTTGAAAAGTGGGGCAATTAATGGGGATATTAAAAGTGACTCTTTATTTATGATTTAACCCATTACTTGATATTACTTGAAATTATTTCAAAATTGAACAAGTGGTTTAGATGTTGTCTAGATGTTGCTGTTTTCTAATTTTAGCTCTGGCAGCCATTTTATTAAACAGTTCAGCCTGTCACTTAGTGAAAGGTAAACTAATAAAAAGATGATAGAAAAAGAGAAGGAAAACAAACAATTGACCTGGCTGGGGATTGAACTGTCGACCTCGATCCCCTGGGGCAGGGCGGATTTTGATCCTAGGGGTTTTATTTCATTAAACATGGCAAATTTCTAAGCTCTAGCTCTTTTGGATTTTCACATGAAGATTTTTTTTAGTTTTTACTATACTGGCATGCGAGCAGTTCCCGTACAAAAATCGTAGTTACTTAATCATTATTTTTTATTACGCTCACTCACCAACATTTGAATGTTACACATCAATATTCGGCTCGTCACACAAATCATGGAAATTCCATCATGTTCTAAACATAGAATAACCCTTAGTTATGAGGCCTCATATGGGTACCGAAATTATCCATTATTTTGTATGAAGAGAAGTAGTTCCCGTACATAAAATTTTAACCCATTATAATTATACATTTTATTATATCGGACCTATTTTTCATTTATAATTGTTGAACAGACCATTTTCTAAGAGATAAATAGATGTAATTCAGAAAATAGAAAGTAGACTAAACGCGTGTATCTATTACCCGGTACCGTTACCCCCAACGCATTCACATGCGACGGCATGCTTGTATGCATTATATTTACGCATCAAAGCCATAAAATTATTTTATATAAGTAATATTGGTCAAAATTTCTGATAATTAAACAAGTTTTCATCACATGCCTTCTTTATCTGTAAACAGGTGGTATTAGTGGAAAACCCTTTAACATGCCTCACGTGTAAGTATGTTTGCGCATGCGCGCAAGACGGAATTCCCCAGATAAAACAAGGTCACGTTTTGACAACGCACAGGTGAAAGTGATTTAAAATGAGACTTTTTATACGTACTGCCGAACTGACACTTAGATTTTGTCTCGTTTATGTATCTGCTTGATTTGAAATGAATTTTTGAAGAATGCATGTAAAAATCAAGCGTTTAAATGAAAAATACGGGTACTGCTTCTGTACGGGAACTGCTCGCATGCCAGTATGCATATTAGGAAAATCAATGACCCCCTGTGGCGGGGTCAATTTTGACCCTAAGCATTTTATTTGAACAAACTTGAAAAATATCCACTAGAAGATGTTTCAATCCAAGTATCTAAGCTCTACCTCTTTTGGATTTTCACATAATTTTCTTTTTTAAGTTTTTACTATATACACATAAAGAAAATTTGACCCTAGGGATTTTATTTGAACAAATATGGTAGACATCGGATAAAAAGATGTTTCATGCCAAATATCTTAGCTCTACCTTTTTTAGATTTCACAAGAAGATTTTTTAAGCTTTTACTATTATATACAAATAAGGAAAATCAATGACCCCTTGGGCCAGGCCAATTTTGACCCTAGGCCTTTTATTTGCACAAACTTGGTAACATCTACTACAAAATGTTTCATGCAAAATATCTAAGCTTCAGCTTTTTCGCTTTTTTAAAAGGAGATTTTTTAAAGATTTTTGTAAAAAAATATATCTGTTGGTATGGCAACCAGAGTTCTTTATGGAATTTAATTCTTTAAACAACTTTGGTAGAGTTTCATGCAAGGAACATCCCTGCAAATGTTCAACAAATTTGGCCAAGTGGTTTATGAAGAGAAGTTGTTAAAAGAAATTGTTGACAATGCACACACACACAGACGTCATGGACAAAAGGCCATCACAAAAGCTCACCTTGAGGACTTTGTCATCAGGTAAGCTAATAAAAGGTTTTATATTATTCACATATTCAACTGAGCACAATGCACATTTTTCCTTTTTAACAGCAAACACCTCTTGAACTTTATAATTATGCTGAATATGGGAACTATACTATAATATTAATAATTATCCATTTTGTTCACAAGTAACTTTTAAAAGGTTTTCCTACCTTAAAATATGCCATATGGCGGTCCTTAATTACAAACTGAGTATATTGTCATATATTGCATTAATATAATCCTTAAGAGTATTAAAGAATGTAGAAGCTTCAGTACAAAACACTACATGTATGTACTCACAGAACAGTAATATTCTTCTGAAGTCTTATATCCCTTTGCATATTTAGGATTATATGGGTACATTACACCAAAGAAAACCACTCTACAATCAAGCTTGTGTCCATAAACTGGTATAACTTCACCAAATGCTTGAGCTCCACCACATTTCGTGTACAATTCTCTCTGTAATTCATGTCCACCTCGTCCTAATAGGGCTGCTGACACAGCACCATGTGATAAGTCAAAATCATGTGATGTTGTACATGCTATTGCATCTACCTATAATGACAAAAACAAGTTAATACCATGATCTAGTTTTAGACTGTTTTGGTATAATGTGACTGCTACTGATTTTAGTAAGTTAAATATCTATTTCACATAAAGCCTGTCTTATATGCAGATTGCAAACAGGTTACAAACTAAAACAAGAGGGCCATGATGGCCCTAGATCGCTCACCTGACTTATTATCTAGATAAGCATTCTGACCAAGTCTCATGACAGGTGAGTAAAAAATGTGACCACTACAGTGTTAACAAGGATTATCCATATTTGAGCAGTGCAACCTAGTTTTTTACCGAGGTGACACATATTCAAACTTGACCTAGAAATCATCAAAACAAACTTTCAGACCAATTTCCAGGATACTTGGATCAAAACAGTAGCAACTAGAGTGTTAACAAGATTTTTCTATTTTTAGCTCCGGTGACCTAGTTTCACATGCGATTTCGAACTCATCCAAGCAATTACCTAGATAAGCATCCTGACCAAGTTTGATGATATTTATCGAGTCGAAAATGTGACCACTAGAATGTTAACAAGGTTTTTCCATATTTGGGTGTGTGACCTAGTTTTTCATCCAAGATGACCCATGTTCGATCTTGACTTAGAAATCATCAAAACAAACTTTCAAACCAATTAACAGAATATTTGGATCACAACAGTAGCCACTAGAGTGTTTACAAGATTTTTCTATTTTTAGCTCCGACGACCTAGTTTCACATGCGATTTCGAACTCATCCAAGCAATTACCTAGACAAGCATCCTGACCAAGTTTGATGATATTTATCGAGTCGAAAATGTGACCACTAGAATGTTAACAAGGTTTTTCCATATTTGGGTGTGTGACCTAGTTTTTCATTCAAGATGACCCATGTTCGATCTTGACTTAGAAATCATCAAAACAAACTTTCAAACCAATTAACAGAATATTTGGATCACAACAGTAGCCTCAGAGTGTTAACAAAGTTTTTCTATTTTTAGCTCCTGTGACCTAGTTTTTCATCCAAGATGTCCCATGTTCAATTTCTTCCCAGCAATGACCTAGACAAGTTTCCTGACCAAGTTTGATGACAATTGAGTCAAAATTGTGACCACTAGAGTGTTAACAAGGTTTTTCTATTTTTAGCTCCTGTGACCTAGTTTTTCATCCAAGATTACCCATGTTCGAACTCATAGCATCTTGATCATTAAGTTTGATGATGATTGATGCAAAAATGTGACCGCTAGAGTGTTAACAAGGTTTTTCTATTTTTAGCTCCGGTGACCTACTTTTTTATCCGAGATGACCCATGTTCAAACTCATCCCAGCTATCACCTAGACAAACATCTTGACAAAGTTTGATGATGACTGATGCAAAAATGTGACCGCTAGAGTGTTAACAAGGTTTTTCTATATTTAGCTCCGGTGACCTTTCTTCATCCGAAATGACCCATGTTCGAACTCATCCGAGCTATCACCTAGACAAGCATTTTGACCAAGTTTGATGATGATTGATGCAAAAATGTGACCGCTAGAGTGTTAACAAGGTTTTTCTATTTTTAGCTCCGGTGACCTACTTTTTCATCCAAAATGACTCATGTTCGAACTCATTCAAGCTATCAACAAGATAAGCATCCTGACCAAGTTTGATGATGATTGATGCAAAAATGTGACCACTAGAGTGTTCACAAAGTTTTTCTATTTATAGCTGAGCTCCTGTGACCTACTTTTTCATCCGAGTTGACCCATGTTGGAACTCATCTGAGCTATCACCTAGACAAACATCCTGACCAAGTTTGATAATGATTGGGTCAAAAATGTGACCTCTAGAGTGTTCACAAGGTTTTTCTATTTTTAGCTCTTGTGACCTAGTTTTTCATCAGAGAGAAGCCATGTTCAAACTCATCCGAGCTTTCAACTAGATAAGCATCCTGACCAAGTTTGATGATGATTGAGGCAAAAATGTGACCGCTAGAGTGTTCACAAGCAATTGTGGACGTACGACGTCTGACATTCACCAATCCTAAAAGCTCACCCTGAGCAAGCTCTGGTGAGCTAAAAATGTGCTTTATATTTATTTGAGGGTTTACTGCAAAACTGTTGTAAGTCTTTCTTTATTTCATATTTATAGCTATTGCAGTTTTGCAGTCAACTCTCAATTTTGTCGGTATTAATGCATATTGATGAATATTTAAAACATGTGTGCATTTTTCCTGAAAATAGATTAAAAGGGCCATGAGTGCCATAAATTTTTGGCCTAATTTCAACCAGTCTATTACAATACTCTACCAGTCTATCAAACTAAAACACAGTCCATCCATCTGACTAACAAGTGTTAGTGTCATATTAGATATAGGAGAAAGTTTTATCAGCATTTTCAGACTTCTTAAAGTAATAATTTTTAATTTTTTTACAAAAACTTGTAACTGGTAATAATGCAAAATCTTCCTGTTGTTTTTATTTTAATTTTTTAAATATGAAACATTCTTCCCTGTAATAAAACCTATTCTCCAACTGGTTAACTGGTTTAAACATTGAATCCTAAATTGTTATACACATAACTGATTGTAGCAAGTCTTTTACATTACTGAAGCAAAGGGTTGAAAACATATAAAAGTCTTCTAAATTCTTTAATTGGTAATTATTGACTATCATTTTATATTGACGTCATTTGTGGTTAAAGAAGCAAATTTAAAGCCATATTTATGTTACCTTGACATTTGCAAGACTGCCCTTCACAATACAAACTGATGGACCATGGGATCTGCTATCTTTCTGTACAACTGTAATAATATGTTGAATTAAAGTAATTATGATGTAGCAACTGATATCAAAGCAGAAATCTACATAAGAAACTGCATAATACAATAATCAAGATTTGATAGTTATTGCTCTGCAAACAAAAATTTGGAAGCTAGGTCAAAATCTAGTTCAACTGTTATCATAGGCTCATCTTGCACCTGCAAAATATCTTATTTGCATCTAGTCCAAATTTTTATAGCTGTAGCTTTCACTATCAGTGCCTAGGTCACAGTGACTTTGAAATTTTACCCTTTGACCTAAAAATGGGTGTGACATGTAGAACTCACCAAAATGCATTCACATATTTAGGTCCATTGTATTAACTTTCTTCTTATTGAAGTAATTGGCCATAAACTCAAAACTTAACCAAAAAACAAGAACGTGTTTGTTAAACACAAATGCCCCCAGCTCAGATTCTTGTCAGTAGCAATATTTCAAAAAATGTTTACCCATTTTCTCAGTTATGGACAGAAAAATTGCCAAAAAATTGTAAACACAAGTTATATAGCTAGACAAAATCATGGCATTTTGTAATTGTGAAAAATATAAGTTGCCAAATCATTGCTCTGTCTTGTGAAGTTGAAAAATATTCAACTTCATGTAAGTTATCTTCCTACCAAATATGAAATACATCTGTCAATAAATACAGGCTGTATGGGCAAAAGCGTAAAAATCAATTTTGAGCACTGGTGACCTTAACCCAACTGACCCCTTACTCTATCCAAAAGAAGGATACCATGTAAGTTATCGTCCTACCAAATATGAAATACATCTGTCGATAAATAAAGGCTGTATGGGCAAAAGTGTAAAAATCTATTTTAAGCACTTGTGACCTTAACCCAACTGACCCCTAACTCTATCCAAAAGAAGAATACCATGTAAGTTATCTTCCTACCAAATAAAAAATACATCTGTCAATAAATAAAGGCTGTATGGGCAAAAGTGTAAAAATCTATTTTTAGCACAAGTGACCTTGACCCACTGATCCCTACCCCAATCAAAAGGATGAATACCATGCAAGTTATCTTCCTACCAAATATAAAATATATCTGTCAATTAAAAAAAGGCTGTATGAGCAAAAGTGTAAAAATCTATTTTTAGCACTGGTGACCTTGACCCAACTGACCACTAACTCCATCAAAGTTTATGCTTCTCTCAATTATAAATAACATCTGTCTATAGAATAAGGTCAATAGTCACTCAATACACCTGTAAAAATGTAAAAATATATTTTTAACACTGGTGACCTTGACATTGGTAACATTGACCTTGATCCAAATGACCCCTTACTACACCAAAAGAAGGAGGACCTCCCTCATCGACGGATACCCACGGCAGAACCATTAACATTCATCAGATTGCATGTTATGTGACATGTTTATCAATCATGGGTATCCGACGATGGACCTCCCTTGGAATGTTTGTATTAACCCTTTCGCTGCCAGAGGGTTATTGTTTTATTGATCACCTATTTGCCAGAGGGTTTTCTAAGAAATTACTATATTATTAATTAATAAAATTATTATTTTTTGTTATTAGTATCATAATAATTATATATGTTTCCAAATCTGTGAGTATAATAATAATTGTTGTTGATGGTATAATTTTCTTTATATTTATTATTATTATTATTATTATTATTAATTTATTATTATTACTATTATTACTAGAAATGTGTCATCATGCCACGGATGCCCCCGCATGCAGCAAAAATTTCAGATGTTATAATATTTAGTTCCAAATTTGTTTGTACAAATTATTTTTTTCATTTTAAGTTCAAAGCCCTTAAAACTTTTCAATGTTAACACAAACCATTTTCATACAATTTTCAAGGCACTGAAATTATTCAGTCTTAACCTTTTGAAAATAGCATATTTCATAATGGCTACATACATTTCCACAAAAGTATGAGTGCTGAAACTGAAAGTTCAAAATTTTTCCAACGTTCAAGAAAGATAAGTTTGTCCAAAATCATTGAACCACGACCAAATTCAAACTTAAACTGCTTATTCCCAAGATGTATCTATATTATTTTCAAAGTGAAAGGGACATAACTCTGCCAAAAAAAATCATCAAACCATGACCAAATTCCAACTTGACCTGCCCATTCCTTTGACATATCCATATGCCAAATTTGAGTTGAATATGTAACACTGTTGGGTAGATAATGAACAGAAACTGTAAATTTCATATTATTTTCAAAGTGAAAGGGGCATTATTCTGCCAAAATTCATTGAACCATGACCAAATTCGAACTTGGCCTAGGCATTCCTAAAAAAACATATCCATATGTCAAATTTGAGTTGAATATGTTGTACTGTTGGGGAGATAATAAACAGAAACTGAAAATTTCATATTATTTTCAAAGTGAAAGGGGCATAACTCTGCCAAAAATCATCGACCCATGACCAAATTTGAACTTGACCTGTATTTTATCATGACATATCCATATGTCAAGTTTGAGTTGAATGTGTTGTACCGTTGGGGAGATAATGAAGGGAAACTGAAAATTTCATATTATTTTAAAGTAAAAGGGGCATAACTCTGCCAAAAATCATGGAACCATGACCAAATTCGAACTTGACCTGTATTTTCTCACGACATAATTATCCATATTTAAAATTTAAGTTGAATGTGTTGTACAGTTGGGGAGATAATGAATGGAAACTGAAAATTTCATGTTATTTTCAAAGTAAAAGGGGCATAACTCTGCCAAAAATCATCGAACCATGACCAAATTCGATTTTGACCTGTATTTTCTAATGACATATCCATATGTCAAATTTGAGTTGAATGTGAGCAACCGTTACTAAGATAATGAACGGAAACTGATGATGACGGATTGACGGATGGACAGATTATGACGGAAGAATGGAATGACGGAAAAACGGAACAGGGTAACAATATATGCCCCGGCCATTACATGATGGGGGCATAATTATAGAAACGGCTAAAGCCGTCCATATGGCAAATACGCCGAAAATAACAGGGACGGCATAAGCCGTCCCTATGGCAGTGCCAGGGTTAAACTAAGATATCAACTAAAATATAAAGGCTGTATGAGCAAAAATGTTTAAATTTATTTTTTAAACCAGTGACCTTGACCTTGTCCCTAGAGACCACTTACTCAACAAAAAATTAGAGGACCATCAAAGGTATCCACCTACTAAATAGGAAAGATATCATTAAAGAAATTAAGCAATTAGGAGAAATTTAAGATAAATCCAACTTGCTGAAATAAGTTAACATTTAGGCAAGGCCCTATTTTCAAAGTGAAAAAAGGGAAATAACTGGGAAATATGGATGACACAGTTATATAACTTGGCAATTTCATGTACTTTGTATTGATAAGTAAGTGTGGAAATTATAAAGCCATTAGTATAAATAGAACTTAAGATATTTCCATCTTGCCGTTTTAGGTTAACCATTATTCATTTTTTAAGTGATGAAAAGGGCAATAACTTGGTAAATATGAAAGCCAGAGTTATGATATTTGCCCAGATCATGTACTTTGTATTGATAAGTAAGTGTGTAAACTTAGAAGCCATTGTCGTACAGGTAGAACTTAAGAAAAATCCAACTTGCCGTTCTAGGTTAACCTAGTACGGATAGACAGACAGACGGATCAATCACTATATGCCTATTGAAATTGCATAAGTGGTATAAGAGAAGTAGTCCGGACAAACTTTAAAAATAACAAGAGCTGTCCGTAAGACAGCGCGCTCGACTTTTTTATTGCTTGCCAATAAAAAAAGTTTTTGCAGTAAAAGGCAATACAAGAATCTCTGTATTTTTAAAGTGAACTAGTTGTTTGATACCCTTGAATATTACAGCAATGTTTATATGACATAATTTATGGTAAAGTGAACAAGTGGATAGGAATGAATTTTTTTAGATTTTTTAAGTTTTTTAGTGCTTGCCTATAATACAAAACATTGACAGTTACGGGCCATAATTCAAATAAAATCTTTGACAGAATTACCTTCTCCTGGACATGTTTGGGAATCATGATTGTAAACAAGTATTCCAACTTTCAAATTAATATCTCAAACAGTTCAGTCAAAAAGTGGACTGGTACTAAAAACTTAACCAAGATTCTAAGTCGATAAAAGGCCTTAATTTTTAAAACAAATCCTTGACAGAGTTACCTTCTCTTGCGTACAGATGGGGGTAATGATGTGAAATAGCATTAAAAGTTTCAAAGCAATATCTCAAAGGGTTAAGGCAATAAGTGGATTTTACCCATATTCAATGTATTTTCTAAGTCAAAAAGGGGCATAATTCTGTCAAAAACCTTGACAGAGTTATGTCCTCTTGTCTGTTGATGAAGGTCGTGATGGTAAACAAGTATGGTCAGTTTCAAAGCAATACCTCCAATGGTTTTGAAATAAAGTGAGGTGGTACAAAAAACTTAACCAAGCTCAATACACTTTCTAAGTCAAAAAAGGGCCATAATTCTGTCAAAAACCTTGACAGAGTTATGTACTCTTGTCTGTAGATGGAGGTTATGATGGTGAACAAGTATGGTAAGTTTCAAAGCCATACTTGTAATACTTCTGAAATAAAGTGGGGTGGTACGAAAAACTTAACCAAGGTGTGACGCCGACGCCGACGCCGACGCCGGGGCGAGTAGGATAGCTCCCCTTTTCATAGAAAAGTCGAGCTAAAAATTAGTAAAGGGCCATAACTCTTACAAAAATCATTGAACCGGAAAATGCTGACAATATGCACAACTAGACTTGGTACTGATAATTCCTGTAATTTTTGCATTTTTTTTTTAATTAGCTAAAATGCAGTGTGGCAGGTAGAACTAATAAAGATGCATCTACATACAAAACTTGCAGTTTGTAGGACACTGGACCAGTTTGTTTTTTAGTGGTCAAAAATGGTTGTGGAAAGTATAACACATTAAGCTGCATCCACAAATAAAGTTTCAATGCAATAGTTCTGTTCATTTTGAAAAACAAAAACTTAAACAAAAGAGTAAAGGAGCTCCACAATTTCATTAAAATCATACACTGTTGCCATAAGGTATATCAAGCAAATATAATATTATAACAAAATATCTTATCAATTTGTCTTTGGGCTACCCGAATCACAGCCATTTGATTAGATACAAATGATTATGAAATTATTGTATGTCCTTAAATATGATCAAAAATACTTAATTATCTGTTTATAATTCAAATATAGATATGATGCTGCAACCTGATATTTTCCTATGGTCCAGCAACTACCCCTCTATCTATGAAGCAAGGCTTCTATTAGACAAAAAGATATGCTTTATGATATGCTGTTAGGGATTTATAATAAAGTCTATTTTTATCTATAAAAATAAGACACTAATTCGTTTTCACTATAGCTATGGATTTTTATTATCTATGTGTTACCAATTTTCTGACAGCTTGGATTTCAGAAAATATGGAAATCTATAAGTACCAAAGGTCAAATGCAATTTCACAGACTTTAATGCATCAACTCTACATACATGAAGCAAGGTGTCAATTGGATATATATTACTTTTGGCCAATTATTCTTTTCTATCTATAAATTATCCTCTATCTATGAAGCACAGCTTCAATTACATAGAATAACCTGGTCCCTGTGAATCTCTCTGTAGACTGAGTAATTTTGGCGGTGGTGGTATTGGTACTTTTCACTCCGGATCACAACAGTAAGCCACACTGAATTAGCCAGAGCACAGTTCAGCCACCCCATCGTTCCTGGGCAGACTGTCAAGCAGTTTACCAGTACTAGTTACCTTCACCTTTGCAAGGAACAGTTACTTCTGTACATGCCAGAGCAAAGGTAAAGTGCAAATGACAGTAGAAGGGACTTCATGATCAATCACAACAAATGTGACCTGCACCATAAGGGAATCGAATGGGTCGTCTGATTCACAGTCCAATGCTCCACCTTTAGAGCTAACTGGGTGGAACTCAGTAATTTTGGCTCTGGTATTTATACCTGCCTAGATAATCGCTCAAGCATGACTTTATTTTCATTGGAATATAAATCATTATCACTGAGACGTTTATTACATTATATGATATTAACATTTATTGACAATACGTTTAACAAAAGTATATTCTTAAGTACCGTAACTTAAGATATATTGTCCTAGTATAAACAAATAACATAATAGTTAAGTAACACTTAAATAATTAGTTAATGATAATCTTCCTTCAAAACCAGCTTAGTAAAAATTATCTAAATGTTACACTAGGTAGCGAAGTGTAACAAAGCAAAAAGGATGATCTGATTTTGATGAGATTGAGAATTGTAAAAATGTAAAGCTATTTTCCACAAATACCTGGTATACTCTTGACTCCTTTTATTTTTGCATCACATGCTTTGACAGCTTCTCCAAAGTTGAGGTCATCCAAGGTACAAAATTCTAACTTTACAGAATGATTAAGTTTTGCATTTTTCGTTTCAGCCAACTTAATGAATTCTTCCAGGATAACTTCACAAAATTCTCTCTTTGTCCAATATTTAATATTGTCAATTGATATTAACACATAACTCTTATCTTTTGTAACAAAGTCTATCATACACTTCCTGAAAGTTTCCTTTAATGTGCTCCTAGAATGGGAGTTTTTGTCTTGTGGAACAGGAAACTGCACGATTGTCTTCCCTGACCTTTCTTCTGTTTTGAGTCCTGTAAAGATAATTAAAATCAACCATTTAAATATTTACATTACAAGAAATCAAGGCAGCCCCTGCATGTTTCGTAAAGGAACATACTAAATGCCATTGTATGATAAGTGTAATAATTAAATCTCAGTGTAAGACAGTTAAAAATTTATCAAAATCCAGTTTGTTTGTATCTTAGTAATAAACACAGCTTACTCTGCTTATAAAATGGATTTACAGATTTATAACAGATCTCAGAGCCTTTGGGCAATGATGTGACTTATTTTGTCCTTATTCATGTTACCTTAGTCAAAAGGGAGAATATGTCAGAAAATCATAATTACCAACATTATCTCTTGTTGTAAAAAAGCATTGAAACTGCATTTTAGCTTTTGTATAATCTGGATTGTCCTTATTTACAGACACTTTGAACTTGTCATTAACAGACCATGTTCGATGGATTTTATCAGGTCCTGCTGTTGCCATAGTTACACTCTTTTGCTGCTCCTTAATAGACCTCAATCAATGCCTTTGAAAAAAAAATTGCATGTGAAACAAGTAAAATATCATACATAACCAACTGCTTTTTTCTGTTGTTATTTCACATTTCTATGTAATTATTTTGTGTTTAATTATAATTCTACAAATTAATACATTAATATTTGTATTAAGTGTATTAATGGAAATAAAGTCTGGATGTATCCAGGAACAACCAATATCCAAACAGTCATGTCATGTCAGGGTCCAACAAGACACTGTCCAAGACTAATGTTAACAGTTGTCTCACATCAGAAAACCATATATATGTATGTGACATAACAAGATAAGCTGACAATATACTAAATCTACTACGGGGCATTATCTTCAAAAGCAATGATGATGTCAGGTAGAGAGCATTTAAACAGTTCAAACTAAACCTATAATATGACCACTATTGCAAGGAATGTGCAGGAGTGTGATGAACAGTGTAATAAACAGTATGATGAACAGCATGATAAACAGTGTAATGTATAGCATGGTGAACAGCTTAATGAACAGCATGATGAACAGTGTGATGAACAATGTGATTGACAGTGATGAAATTGTGATGAACAAGCAAATATTCGTTGAATTTATATTCCCGCCGAGTACTGGTTATTACTAACACATAAGGCTTTATTTATATATTCATCATGGCATAAACAGTAATATTCTTTGAACTTGATAAATATTCAGGACAATAACAGAGCCATAACTCTGTGTTAAATAGAAATATCTGGAAATGCCAATGAGATGTATGCATACTGCATAACTAATCAAGGGCCATAAATCTGAGTTATAAGTGGCTGAGCGGAACAAGGCGACTATCAAACTCCTCACAGTGATTACCTCCCTTAGCAGAATTGTAATCACTGCCTTCAAAGACGTCACATGATGATGAAAGTCACATGACGTAACGTCGAAATTCAAATGTAAATATCGACCGTTACAAAGAAAATCTAACGTCATTTTTCTCTTTCTGTTTTATTTTTAACTTTTAGTGCCTACGATCGATATAGTTTATCAAAAATTATCTAAAGTATACAAAATAACGAAAAATAAATTCAAAAGCTAAAAAATATAAAATATCAAAATATTGTCTCGGTAGAAAATATTCTCATATTTTTTAAAATTATTTCTAAATATTCATATTATTTATTTATTTATCCATTAACATTGTTTAATCAATGAGAAAAAACTTAACTGATAGATAAAAGCAGTAAATTCAACAGTTTTTTGAAAAAATATAATATATCAGAAATTCTGATATATTGGGACCTTGGTGGCAGAGATCTACGCCGAAGAATTAAGGGGAGATCACTGTGTGGAGATTGGGCGACTATATGCACATTTTCCTCTTCGTATCCCATAAAGTTTCATTGAATTCCAGCCAGTAGTTACAGAGAAGTAGCACGGAAACGATTATTGCTCTGGTTGTATACTGCATAAGTTATCAAGGGCCATAACTCAAAGTTAAAAGGTCTGATCCGAACAAGGCGATGATATGCGCATCTCCTCTTGGTACTGAAGGTTCCAATAAAGTTTCATTGAATTCCAGCCAGTAGTTGCAGAGAAGTAGCGCAGAAACAAATATTTTTCTATATGCATACTGCATAACTAATCAAGGGCCATAAAGGCCCATAACTCTGAGGTGAAATGTCTGACCCAAACAAGGCGACAATATGCGCATCTCCTCTTGGTATTGAAGGTTCTCATAAAGTTTTGTTGAATTCCAGCCAGTAGTTGCAGAGAAGTAGCGCGGAAACGATTTTTACTCTATATGCATACTGCATAACTAATCAAGGGCCATAACTCTGAGTTAAAGTGTCAGACCGGAACAAGCCGACGATATGCACATCCCCTCTTGATATTGAAGGTTCCCATAAAGTTTTGTTGAATTCCAGCCAGTAGTTGTAGAGAAGTAGCGCAGAAACGATTTTTACTCTACATGCTTACTGCATAACTAATCAAGGGCCATAACTCAGAGTTAAAGTGTCGGACCGAAACAAGCCGACAATATGCGCATCCCCTCTTAATATTGCAGGTTCCTATAAAGTTTCGTTGAATTCCAGCAAGTAGTTGCAGAGAAGTAGCGCAGAAACGATTTTTACTCTACATGCATACTGTATAAATAATCAAGGGCCATAACTCTGAGTTAAAGTGTCGGACCGGAACAAGCCGACGATATGCGCATCCCCTCTTGATATTGAAGGTTCCAATAAAGTTTCGTTGAATTCCAGCCAGTAGTTGCAGAGAAGTAGCGCGGAAACGATTTTTACTCTATATGCATACTGCATAGCTAATCAAGGGCCATAACTCTTGAGTTAAAGTGTCGGACCGAAACAAGCCTATGATATGCACATCTCCTCTTGATATTAATGATTCCCATAAAGTTTCGTTGAATTCCAGCCAGTAGTTGCAGAGAACTACTCCGGAAAAGAAATTCGGATGGATGGAAGGACTATGGACAACGCTAAAACTATTTCCCCCTCCTGATTCAATCGGCGGGGATAACAATGTCATTGACAGTGATGAACAGTGTGTTGAACAATGTGACTGAAAATTATGAACAGTGTGTTGAACAGCATGATGAGCAGTGTGATGCACAATGTGATTGACAGTGTGATAGATATTCAAGAGATACTATCCTTTCTACCCATCAATAAACTGAAGCTTAAAATCAGTCTTTTTCTAGAGTTATAAACAAGACAATTATAGATAGCTGTTTTACCAAGCACCATTTGTCAATGGGATAATGATACCAACCAAACCTAGAACAGACAAATCTGAAGCTGACTTCAAATGTTACCTACGAGAGCACATTGACTACTGATAATCTTTGCTAATATTCATGAATAAATTTTCTTGTTGATTCATAATTAAGGTGAATCATTATGATGGCCTGAAATTTACATCCAAAAATTTGCTTATTTGTTAATTTTACCATGTGGCAATTAGCTTCGTTACTTTACTTTAAAAATTTCTTTTATTCAAATAGCAAAGATAAATGTATTATAGACAATTTCAACAAAATTAAATATAAACCAGACAGTCCATCTCACCCCATACTTTTTTGACAAAGAGTACAATGATGTTATTTATAAATACAAATCTGAATGTCAATGAAAATAAAGACAATTATTTCAAACTTTCAAAATTTATTCTGTTGCAAAAGCTATTGCTTGCTTTATTATAATTTAAGGGACATTATATGTATGCAAACAGTACTTTACTAAGTGCAGTCTGCAATCACAATATTGTGCACTGTTGTTTTTTTATTGTTATTTTTTGTTGGGTTTCACATCTTAGCAACAAAGTAGAGGTAATACAGTGACCTTCCAGCTTTACAAGAAGTCACCTCAGGTGTCTCTCTGTGCATAAATGTGCACAATTAAAGGGCACCTGAACCACCTATGTTCAGATCTGGATAGCTTCCTCAACTGTGCTTGAGATATACACGGCATGTAATCAAGTGAACAAAAGTTATCACCTAACATTATGTATTAACCCTTAGTCTGCATAGTAATAGACTCATACTGATGCATCAGTGCTGACCAAGTACAACAGACACATCCAATTGTCTGCTTGTTCGCTATTCTGTCACAATAAATTTTGAAATTTTCACTACTTGTAAATGATGATTCAGATAAATGGTTTTGTTCCAATTGAAAAATGGAAGTTACTAACATAGTAAAGGTTAAATGATTTATTACATTATTATTTAACTTTAATGATAAAGATCTGGTTTTAAGTCTTATAAATATCAGCAAAACTGTCAAATTTATATAACAACAGTGTATTTCCGGCGGCACGAAATACTCAAATATACCCAAATATAGCAATTTTTATTTTTGTTTGTATAAAATATATATTATAATGAGAAATAGATAAATATTTATAAAAAAAAATATGACTTAGCCTGCTATTACTTTCATTTATTCCGTTGAAATGGGCAGATAAGATGTTGTAAAAAAATAAAGTTGTGACATTTGCTTATCTACTATATTAGGTACTTGCAATTTTAAATCAAGATATGATATTTGTTGTCTACACTTACATTTTTAAGATGTAATTTTGTTGTAATTTCATATCATATACAATTAAGTGTCCATGTTATTTAAAAAAAATAATAGCTTTAATGGAGTACATATACTGTACGTACTGTATTTTGGTTCAAAATACAATGATAGGAAAATGTATATTTGGGTATGTTTGATTATATCTTAGCACAGGAACCTGAAATTCTATCAAAAACAAAAAAATAACGATTTAAATAAAATCCCATACATATACTATAAAAAGTTTTTTTTATAGTATATGTATGGGATTTTTTTTAAATCGTTATTTTTTTTGTTTTTGATAGAATTTCAGGTTCCTGTGATCTTAGTGAAAGTGTATATTGTATTCATGATTAAAACAGAACATTTTCAGTATTAAACATATATTTTTAGTATAATTGGGCAATATTTGGGTATATTAAGGCAATATTTGGGTATATTCGGGTATTTCGTGCTGCCCGTGTACTTCACAATATTTTATTCAGACTTTGAATGTTAACAGGTGTGGGGAAGAGGTCGTTTTTCTTCGATGAAGATAGCAACTGGACCATGGTAAATCTGTTAGTAAAGGGATAACCTATAACTGTATAATGTCGGTACACTAACTTTTTCTTCCGCTTGTCCAGTTGAACGTCCACCTTGTCTACTTTCGATTTGACAACAATATTGATTAATTCATTATAACTTACGATACAATGACAAAGGCGCATTATAAGTAATTAATAAAACATTTTTTTTTCTTTCCATGTTTTCGAAAAAACTGTGTTTAACCTTCCGCTTTCTAGGAAATATCAAAACCGAAAATAGGAATTTTTAGAAATTATTCAAGTCCATGCGCATGCCCAACAACATTCGGAACATAGTTGAGTACCAAGAAGTTGCGACTGTTCAAACATAGGCAAGCGGCTGCTAAATGAGAGGGGATACTTATCGACGCTCTCTACGAAATAGAGGTCTCTGACGGTCTCCAAATACCGACGAAGACCCCGGCGATTAGTAGGTTATTACACAAATCGACCGTCTCGCGATGAATTGAATTTTTAGAAATAATTTACAATCTGTCAATTAACATTTCTTTTTTATGATAATACTTTATTTATGTCAATATTTAATGGGGGGAAAATACGAAGGAAAAGATAAAAAAAGGGAAAATAAGAATATTGTTATGCAGAAAATTAGATAAACAAAATTAACAATGAAATATATTGAAATATAATATGAAAAAGGCAAAGCCTCAAAGAGAGCTCGATGTACTTTTTACGTGAAATAGTATGAAATAATCTCAAATGCAGTGACGAGACGGAGTGCGTGTGACGTCACACGTACTGTGTTAAATATGACCCCGTCCCTGTCGTGAAATGAATAACGAGTTTTGAAAACGTTGATAAAACTTTGTTTGTTTTATTTCACTCTATAATTTTTCAAGCGAAATAAAGTTTATTTTAAGTGAAATAAATGTAAAACTTTAAACGTTTGCGACATTAAAATAGCGTACTTGATTTGTTTGTTTTGCACGTGCTGTTTGGCGCTACATTGTGACGTCACGTAAACAATACTTTAAACGTCTGTACAGCGTTAACGACTGAATAAAAGATATTGGTGTTCGGATTCATTTTCTTAGTTAGACCACTTTCTTTCATTCTAGATAATTTTTACAACAAAATTCGACAAAAAATTGTTTTTATTTATCAGATTTCAAACAAAATGGCGCTTTCGATTTTCATTTTTTATACACAGCTTCCGTTATTCTGGTTCCCTGCCCAATTATGGTTCCCATAGACGTGCGCAGGTGACCAGTCTACACATCCGTTTTCAGTCAGAATTCCTCAGTTTTTACCGTTATCTTTAAATTCGAAAGGTTGCGATGTGTCCAATTTGGTTCTTTGGACGAAAGTTTTCAAAACCATCACTTAGCAGGTACTCGCGTTACCGTAAAGCTCGCTTTGCGAGCAGGCCCTTCGGGCCAGCTCGTCGAGCTCGCTATAAACATGCTATTAAATTTATTGATAAATATCAAGGTCTAATATTGGTGTTCGGATTCATTTTCTTAGTTAGACCATTTTCTTTCATTCTAGATAATTTTTACAACAAAATTCGACAAAAAATTGTTTTTATTTATCAGATTTCAAACAAAATGGCGCTTTCGATTTTCATTTTTTATACACAGCTTCCGTTATTCTGGTTCCCTGTCCAATTATGGTTCCCATAGACGTGCGCAGGTGACCAGTCTACACATCCGTTTTCAGTCAGAATTCCTCAGTTTTTACCGTTATCTTTAAATTCGAAAGGTTGTGATGTGTCCAATTTGGTTCTTTGGACGAAAGTTTTCAAAACCATCACTTAGCAGGTACTCGCGTTACCGTAAAGCTCGCTTTGCGAGCAGGCCCTTCGGGCTAGCTCGTCGAGCTCGCTATAAACATGCTATTAAATTTATTGATAAATATCAAGGTCTATTATTTTTATTTTTTCATCTACTTCATCGATATTATTATCAATACAGTAAGTAGTACTTAACTTAGTATTAGTAGTATATTCTCAATGCTTTAACTTAAAATATATATATATTAATTTGTGTTGTTAAGAACATTTGTATATATTCTTAAGACCGTCGAAGACCGACAATCGGGAAATACCGTCTATTTGTAGTTATATAAATATCGACGGTCTCATGGTATATTACATATGTATGCCTCTACAGACCGTCAATTGAAGGAGACCGTCGATTAGCAGGTTACTTTACAAATCGATGGTTTCGTGAATATACATGAATTTAATGTATATGTCCTAAAAAAGGATTACTGAAAATAAGTTATTAATTTATTTTAGCTGGTCAATAAGCAAATTCTCTAAGACGATAGTTTACTGACTTCATTATTTTTTATGATTTCTAAAACAACAATTTGAAATACGATTTAAAAATAAAAAAGATAAAACATAATTAGCACTAAATAATTGAATGAATTGATTGTCAACTTGTATTGACCTTCTTTTTATACTCATTATTATATATTTTAAACTATTCCGTATACGTATGCCATTCAATAATAATTTCCTCTTTATTATAATAACTTGATTTATTAGTGATAACGATAATGGTGATGACGATGACGATGTTGCTGATTATAGACACCCCTCGTCTAATACGATCGCCGCTTTTCTGAATGTGATATGGAAGACGGTCAATTCCCGTGATCTCTTTTTGTTTAATATGATCCCAACTTATCAGAGTGTGGCATGGCAGTGATCTCTATACATCTAATACGATCTCGGTTTTTATTTGTTTGGGTCGTCAGAGATTTCTAATATTGTTATTCTTATATATACTAGTATACATGCTTATATTCAGCTCCATGATTATATACTTCAGTGTTAAACAACAGGTTTACCGTGAAAAATAAATATTGAAATTAATAAAGGTTACGAACTCTAATTTAGAATGATATGGTATTCTTCAGGCTGTTATATCTTATAACACCCCGTTGACGAGAGGTTTACACGCTCGCTTTGGAAGCGAGAGGTCTGGAGTTCAAATCCCAGTTCAGGCAACTTTTTTAAGCCAAATAAACATTAAATTTAATATCAGTGCAGTGTTGCAATTAGTCTTATAGCCAATTTACTATAGTTACAACACTGGAAACAGCATTGGTGACACTATACAAACAGATTGGTTTATAATCTCACAACATTCACCTTTATGACATTTTGAGACCCAAACAAATTCAGCGTCTTCTGATTGTGATAAGGTAGATCAAAGATATTCAGTTTAAGATATTGTACAGGTATCATAATGATCTATTAAACGGGAAATTGATAATATGTCCTATTGATGTGTTTGTTGTGAATTTTTTTAATAATGGTATAATATACTCATATATTGTTAGGAGTAAAATGACAAATATATTTATCATAGGTTTAAGTAAATCATCTAGTTTTTGTGAGTATCACCCTTTAAGGTTGTAGTATTTATGGTATTCAGTTTTGCACGGATTTTCCGTGCGTGTAAAGTATTGATAATCGTTGCAAAGATTTTTTCCTCATTCGAAGTCTTTGCATTGTGCAGTAAACACATACATTACATTTCCCAGCCCACCCACCCGTTTTTTAGCATAAAGGATTTTTAATGCTTATTTTGAAAGAAAATGATTTATTCATAATTAACTGAAAGGATTTGTTAAAGGTTCATCACGATGCAGAACGTATTATTATTTATTCGTTGTTTAGAAAGGGCAATCTTGAATATATCAGTGTTTTATATTACAGTTTTTAGGGCATGTTAAATGTTCATTACCTGACGATGTTAATTTATTGGTCTTTAACTTTCTGCAAAGTATATCAGGACGCTAATATTGAAGTTTATCAGTAACAAAATTTATGAAAGCATTTCTGTGGCTTACTGTGCTTTTAATTATTTTTCAGGTTTTATTAAGTATGCTGTAGATTATTTGATTTCTATATTATTTTGTTTAAATGCTCTCATAAACATTTGTTTTCTCTGCATCAATCGTTTTGTTGAAAGTTCAATTAATATAATATATCCTTTAAGTGATACAAAACCTTTCTTTATGATTTACTTGTCATAAACATAAGAATTTAAAAACCTTATGCAACTTAATTGTTCAAAATATTGTGAATGGATTGTACTGCTGATAAATGATAATACAAAATGTAATGTATATACATGTATGCTTGTTTGATAAGTTTATCATGAAATTATTTAGTTGAATTTGCTATACAAAATTTGTGTTCGATATATTATTGTATAACACAATGCACAAGACAATTCCTAAATAGCATTTTGTGTTTTGTTATCTTTTCTCAGAGTTGATTTACCTTATTAGTTGGTAAATAATTTATTTCCGGTTGAGTGAAACAAATAAGGAAATAAGTCTGATTACGTTTGACAAGTAGAAATCACTATGAAGATCTTTATCTAAGTAGGAAAATCATAGTCCAGATATTTATATGAATGCTCATTTGTTCGGTGACAATTCAAACAAAATGTATTTTGATAAAGATAAAAAAAACGCTTTACTCACATTACGTAGCAATCACACTTCGGTTAACTAAACAAATGTCTGTACTCTAATATTTTAAAAGGGCACATGCCATTTGTGTCAAATATTTCGAAACCATCACAACAATAAAACCAACTCCGTCAGAAAGATACAAACACAAGTCCACTTTATAATTCCTTAAAGAACTCTAACATGTTAAAATGCAGGGGTTAGATCTCATCGATTATTTACCCATGACACCTGCCTTACTGATATACATAAAAATACATGTAATTTCAATTAATGAATTGTTTACCAACTTGTAATTACTTTTTCTTATTACCTATTATTATTATTATTATTATTATTATTATTATTATTATTATTATTATTATATGTATGTTTTAAACTCATATCATAATGATAATTGTCATATGAGACTGTTTATATAAATGTATACATGCGCATGCTTAGAAAGTACATGTAGTACAGCAGTTCTTGTTAAGAGTTTGTCTCTAGTATTATGAACGAAATACAAGGAAGTGACTCAATTGTCGCTTTCGTGACGAGGCTAAGAAACAAAGCCACAGATTGCAAATTTACGGACAAAAATGAAAATATCCGTGACAGAATTGTGTTTGGATATAGCAGTTCTGAAGTACGTGAAAAACTAATAAATGAAGGCGGAAAATTTACATTAGACAAGGCAATACAAATTGCACAAAATTATGAATATTGCCATAAACAGATTGCAACCATGGAGGCAGCCGCGCACCAACCAATTGACGCTGTTCAGACGAAGAGGCATTATGGAAGAAAACAATCAGCAAAAGGACCCACTAAGAAG